AAACAACATGTAAACAAGCTGCTGAACTGGGATAGTGGTACAGAAGAGATTTATAATTCAAGGCTAAGCATGTTAACTCAGAAGAAATCCCATTGCGTTCAATAGGACTTACGCCCAGGAAAGCATGAATAGGATGCCCTGAAAACCCACTTCTTTATTTGGATATCCTTATTAATGTCAGGACTGCTTTAGTAATGTCAGAACACATCCAAATGTCATGCTGTTCTCACAGTCAGTACTGTATTTGCATTTTCAATATGAGGAGGTGAAATCAGAATTTCACAACACACCTACTACTGTGGCATGGGGAAAGTCTATAGTTTAACATAAAAAATACTAAATAGATCCACAATCCATTTTGAATATGGGTGGCAAAAACATATAAGGATGTATAGCTACAGTTGTTTTCAGTGCTATTTGCCATAACATATTTGCATACTTAAAATATACGATGGAGGAGGAGGAGGAGGAAATTGGATCTATATCCCACCCTTCACTCAGAGTCTCAGAGCGGCTTACAACCTCCTTTCCCTTCCCCTCCCCACAACAGACACCCTGTGAGGTAGGTGGGGTTGAGAGAGCTCTTGACAGAAACTGCTCTTTTTTCAAGAACACCTCTGACAGAACTATGGCTTGCCCAAGGTCATCCAGCAGCTGCAAGTGGAAGAGTGGGGAATCAAACCCGGTTCTCCCAGATTAGAGTCCACACACTTAACCACTACACCAAACTGCAGTTTAAGAAATCATTTTAAACATATACATACTACATTTCCTTGTTCCTAATAAACTCTTGGTTGTCCAGCAGTACAATGCTTCTTCCTATCACCTTTTAAGTCTCCATTGTAGAACTGGTGTCAGCTTTTTACCCCACTGCAGAAATCCAGTCTGGCAGTTTACAAGATGATGTCAACAAAGCTCCATAGGCAATATTTATTAGGTCACTGACAAAGCCTAGCCAATAGAATGAAGGTCTACAAGAAAATGTTTAAAAGTGATAAATAATAATGATATTTCTTTCAAAAGTTATGTTTACCATTTATTATAATAGAACCTAGAGATTTCAGAATTCCTTCACATCTTACATTCTAATAACGAAGTCGGGAAATATTTGGATACTTAAATCCAATGACTGGAGCTGTGAACCACCAAGACAGATTTTTCTACAAACCTGAAAAGGGCCCTAGGTTTGCAGAAAAATGTAAAATCTTTAAAAAAACAACACTGAATATTTTTAGAAAATCCAAAAATGATAAAAGGAGTACCTGTAGCTTTAATCAATGTATTCCGTCAGTGGCTGTTGCTAGGTGGCTACAGTATTCCAGGCTTCAGTTTCTGTGAGTAAAAAGGTAGGGGGAGGGGACAGGCCTATTTTGGCCTTTGAGGGAGAACTCATTGCGGCCAGGCTAGGGTTGCCAGCACTAGGTGAGAAAATTCCTGGACATTTTGGGGTAGAGTCTGAGGAGGAGGGGCCTCAGCTGAATATAATGCCATAGAGTCCACCCTCTAAAGTAGTAATTTTCTCCAGGGGGATTGATCTCTGTCATCTGTAGTTTAGTTGTAATTCTGGGAGATCTTCAGGTCCCACCAGGATGCTGGTAACCCTAGGCCTGACAGCAACTTCTGAGTAACCCCTCAAATTGCATGACTCAGCTAGGCCTGGCTGCTTGCTACTGTTCAACAGCAGCCACCCCCTGAAAGCCAGTGAGGTGTAGCAATGAGAGCTTCAGAGTAGGATCTGTGAGACCCAGGTTTGAATCCAAATTTTGCTGTGGAAACTAACTGGGTGATTTTGAACCAGTGACATACTTTCCGCCTAACCTACCTCACAGGGTTGTTGTGTGGATACAAAGGAAGAGAAGAGAATAATGTTAACTGCTTTGGTCCCCACTGTGGAGAACAGTAGGGTATAAATGAATAAATAATGGGAGGCAAATAAAAGGTAGGTTAATGAATGGCTGAGGAGAGAATGAGGAAAGGAGAGGATATTGAATTGCCGAGAGAGGGAAAAAAGGAAATAGTGTGTGGGGGAGAAGTGAGGTGGGACCCCACAAGTCCTTGCAGGTTTCCTACCATGCAAGCTGGCCTTGCCCAGTGGCCAGCACCACACAACTGGGCCACAGTTTTCCTAGGAAGAAGCTACTGGAGGGGGGTGGGTTGAGTGGGAAAGCTTAAGACAGAAGGGCAGATAAAGATATCTTGGCTGTTGGGTGGGAAGGAGATAGGGTTGCTAACTCCAGGTTAGGAAATTCCTTCAAGTTTTTTGGGGGGGCTGTAGAGGGTGGAGTTTGAGAAGGGGACCTCAGAGGGGTATAATGCCATAGACTCCATTCTCTAAAGCAGGGGAACTAGGGTTACCAGCCTCCAGGTGGAGGATGGAGATCACCCAGAATTACAACTGATCTCCGGATGACGGGGATCAGTTCCCCTGGAGAAAATGGCTGCTTTGGAGGTGTAATCTATGGCACTATACCCTGCAGAAGTCACTTCCTTCCCTAAACCTCACTCTCCCAATGGTCCACCCCAAACTCTCCAGGAATTTCCCAATCTGGAGCTGGCAAACCTAAGGAGAATAGATCTCTATAGTCAGGAGATCTGTTGTGATTCCAGATCTTCAACCCTATCTGGAGGTTGGCAACCCTAGAAGGAGAGAAGGAAAATGTGAGAGGCTATAGGAGATTTCAGGAATGGGAAAGATGAAATAGTGGGGGAGGGGGAAATAAGATGCCTTCCACAAGTCCTTGCGGGTTCCCACTTGTTATATTCTATTTAAATAACATACTGGAATGTCAGATGTTATATTTCTAGTAATTATTCAAACATAAATATTTCAAAGCTTGGTTTCTTACTTTCTTTGTGTGTCTTTAAACCTTAAAGTACTCAACCAATAATTGCAACATACAGTCATTAAAACAATTAACAGTGCAATACTAAGCAAAGTTACCCCCTTCATGACTCCAGTCTTAGACGGTTGCAACACAGATTTGCATTGTAAAAATACTATTACCAATTAGAATTAAAATTAAAAGTACCTGAAAAGAATACCAACATTTTAATACTAACTACATGAACTAGGCTGACTGTTGCTAATTCTAAATAACATTTTAAACAAATGGTCCTGCGTAATAAAAATGTATTCTAATGGAACAGTGAAAAATTAAAAGTGCTTATAATGTTAATTACTGCTAAAGTTATTGCTAAATACAATTCACACATTTTGTTCATACATGAAATTGTAACCTATACATTATACAAACACAAGAGCAAAGATTACATATGGCAAACTGGCCAATTACAAATATTGTAAATTGGAATGTCCATGATTTCCCCCCAGCCATTAAGCTTATGAGAATTGCTTTTGACTATATATGTGACTAATCAATTTATCAAACATTAAATTGGAGAAACGACGGCTGAGGGGTGACATGATCGAGGTTTATAAGATTATGCATGGGACAGAGCAGGTAGAGAAATAACTACTTTTCTCCCTTTCTCACAATACAAGAACTCGTGGGCACTCCACGAAATTGCTGAGCAGTCGGGTTAGAACAGGTAAAAGGAAGTACTTCTTCACCCAAAGAGTGATTAACACATGGAATACACTGCCACAGGAGGTGGTGGTGACTACAAGCATGGACAGCTTCAAGAGGGAATTAGATAAGCATATGGAGCAGAAGCCCATCAGTGGCTATTAGCCACAAGGTATAGATAGGAATTCTCAGGCTGGGGCAAGTGATGCACTGTATTCTTGGTGCTGGGGGGGGGGAGCAACAGTGGGAGAGCTTCTAGTGTCCTGGCCCCTGATGGACCTCCTGATTGCACCTAGTATTTTTGGCCCCGTGTGACAAAGTGTTGGACTAGATGGGCCACTGGCCAGATCCAACATTAGCTTCTCTTATGTTCTTATATTCTTAACTTCTACATATACTCCAACTACAAAAGCAACAGGATTGTAGTGTATTCCAAAATTTATTGCCTGTTTTATTCTGCTCTTATTGCATTGTCATCTACTTTTGCAATTCCATTTTCTGCATTGTTTATGACTTGTCATGTCTGATACCTTTTTCTTTTTGCACTGTTTTTCATACTTTGTAACTCTAGACCTAATGCATTGTTTAACTGATGTGTTATGCTGTCTGATTACAACATTTTATATCCCATAATCTACCCGGAGTCTCAGTGAAAAAGGTGAAATTTAAATAAATAAATATATAAATACAGGCAGGAAGACAAAAACATAGGCATGTAAAACATCTTGTACCAATAACGTAAGTAACTACACAGTTATATAATATTTGTCTTAGGGTTGATTCACTTGCTCTTAGAAGAACATAAGTATGTCTGACACCATGTGGGCTTGGTTTATAAACATGTTAAATGGCCCTCTGATCCAACTGTTCTCATAAACGTTCACTACTCCAAAGAAAACAGGCAACCGAAAAATTGGAATAAAGGTATCTGGCAACTGCCAATTGCTTGATGCTATTGAGGGGGACAAAGAAAGAAGAGGAAGGAGATGTGAATAGTTAAAATAGGTCATAATCTTGAACCAAAAAGAGAGTGACAGATTATATAGCCAGTTGGGAGTAGGATGCTGTGTGAATGAGCAGCACAAAGAATGAGTGATGAAAACCTCTTGTTCAGAGCATGGTTACTGATGCTGTCAGGAAGCAGAAGCACTGTCAGTAAGGAGGCTGGATATTCAGATCACATTTCATAGTAAGGTCATCATAAGATCTCCTTAAATCATCTCACCTAAATTATGCAAATTTACACCTTCAAAAAAAAGGTAGATTACAGCTCTGATCTAATAGCCCAGGCAAGCCCAATCTCGTCAGGAGGCCAGAGGCAGGCTATCAAGTCACTTCTCTGAACATCCTCCATGCCACAGTAGGAGTTGCCAGAGGTTGCCATTACTTCCAGGCACGGGGACACACAAAATGCAAAAATACCCCCCGCCAAAGATAGATTACACAATTTAACATGTCATATAATTTTCTTACCAAGAATTACAGAAAAAATATAGGAACAAAAAACCATAACGAAGCATGTTCACTAATTTCCTGATAAATACAGATTGGGTGATCTTCAGTACTTTCGGCTAGGCAGTAGTCATTGTCAGTTCACATCCTAAAATGAAAGAAAAAACAACTCATTAAAACAAATTAATTTTATGACAAATGAAAAGATGGCACATCTGCAAAACAATAGGAAAAATGACACTGGAACCCTTAGTAAGAGCTTCTAGAAGGCAGCCTGATTTTTTTTAAATTATCCCACACTCACTTACTAGGAAATGCCATTAGAAATGTTCCAAGAAAACATGTATGGAAATAGGGTGTAAAAAAGGCATACTATGCAAAGAAACTGCAAATGTGCTATAAGGACTGAAACTTGAAATATACCTACCTATATTAACTGACTGTGGTGAAGTGGTTAGAGAGCTGGAGTAAAACTAGAGAGATCCAGGTTCAAATCCCTATTCACCATGAAATGTATTTGGTAATGTCATTCTCTCTCAACCTAACCTACCACTGAGGTTGCTGCAAGGACAAAACTGAGGAGGGCAAAATCATGCCACATCCCCTGAGCTGTTTGGAGGAAGGGAAGCATAAAATGTAATAATAGATTAATGTTTAGTTTGTTGATGAAACCAACATTGATAATTATAATGATATAGCATATGCACAAAACTGAAGTTCCTGGTGTATGAACTTTATTAATTTTCAAAGCATCTCATCCTTATTTCAAATGGAACATTTAGAAAGAAACACTAAATATTAAAAAAACAGAGTGAAATACAGCACCATCCTATGCTTATTTATTCAGATGTAATCCAATTGATTTAAATGGAATTTATTCCTAAATCAGTATGCATTGGATTGGACTGCAGTTATGCTTAATACAAGATAAACATTCCCCAGAAATTATGCCATATAAAATATTTCTTCCCTTCGGCCTCAAAATCTATTTCAAAACATCATAACTAAAAATTTCAATGAAGAAGCATCTAGACTAGAAACTTCAATGTAAATAAATATTTATGATTAATAGGAAAAAAGCTACCAAATCTACCAAACATGAGGAAATAATCAAACCACTAAGGGATGGAGCCCAGGGAGGACCTGGGCTGATGGTTCTAGGAAAAAAGCCCACATGGAAAAATGCCCTGATGGAAATAACCCCACACGGAAAAATACCATATAAAGTGCCATAGATATTTATAATTGTGGATAATCATTCGTCTCCATTTATGAGAATGAACAGGTATTACCTGTATTCACATACAACAATTTGTGTTGTGATTTTATCAAGTATAATTAAATAATAATTTTGCTATGTTATTAGGCAACCTGCCTGTGCATTAGCCAGTGTTAGTTTGTGGCAACCGAGGTTCCTCTGCAGTCCATCATATAGAGACCACACACAGGTGTTCCCTCTAAGCTGAGTTAGTGTGAGCTAGCTAGCTCACAGGTTTTTAGCCTACAGCTCACAGATTTTTGTCTTAGCTCAGGAGGGATAGCTCCAGAGCAAACTGATTTATGCAGTAGCCAAACTGCTCGCTCACAGCTGTAATGCCAGTAGTTCACAATGTAGAATTTTTGCTCACAGGACTCCACACCTTAGAGGGAGTATTGCCACACACTGGGAGGACTGCTGTGGAATAGGAAATTAAGAGCACTACAGGACATGGTTGCCACTTCTGTTGTTATTTGTTATTTAATGTTGTCTTATGGTTTTGTTATCTTAAGCTAAGCTTCATAGATCTATGAGGCCTTAATTACTTCTACTATTTAGGAAAGAGAAAGAGGAGGCGGCAGTGGCAGTAGCTGAGGAGGCTGGGTAACATAATTAACAGAAGAACCCTGCTTGATCACACCAGTCCCTGCAGTTGGGAGGGGCTGATCTTTCAATTTCACAATGGGACCAGAGATATAAAAGGAGTAGCCTGGTATGGCCCAAACCTTTTATTATTATACAGGTCCTGAAGAAATCCAAGACTTTTTACGTAGGTAAGTTCTCCACACATTTTCCTCTCACTGAGGAGCAAAAATTAGATGCTGGGAAGATTTTAATTTAGAGAATGTTCTCTATGTGAGCACCAGCTTAGATTGTAACAAAATAGCACTCCTAAATACCGGAAGGATTTTACCTGTTGTACCTGTTGTAAAACCAACGGTTGCATTTCCATGATTTAGAGAAAACCAATATTTTTGTCTTGTCAAAATTAATGGAGAGGGAGTTCCGGGAACAGTAAGCATTAAATTCAGATAAAAAGCATGTAAGACCAATCCTTGTAAAGGAGAGGATAACCGCATCGTCCGCATAAAGCAAAACCGGGACTGCAGTCATAAAAGACTATAAATCGTTAATCAAATCTGGACCTGGTTATAATAGGCTCTAACTGCTAATAATAGTTCAAAGTATGAGAACTATTTCCATGGCATACAATCTTTACAAAAGGCATCTTGGCCAAGGTCATCTGGTAGCAGCAAGATGCCCTAATGAATTCAATCCTACTACAGCAGTTGTCCATCTGCAGTTCAGATAAACAGGATTTGTTAACTTCAAATATTCTAAACCAAACTGTTTTGAATTGGAACAAAATCTGAGCTCAGTGGCACCTTTACAACCAACAGAGTTTTATTTTGTTTTGAAGTTGTTATTTTTACCTGCCATAAAGTAACTAATCACTCACTACTGTAGGGGGGGAAAGCATGAAGTTTGGCTCATTTTTTTTAAAAAAGGAAAAAACATTCCATTCTAGCACAAAGCAGTTAAGAGCAACAGAAAGCATGAAAAATGACACTAGAAAGAAGTGTCCTAGCAAGTCATAATAAAATAGTTTTGAGAGCTTCACATTTTTTGCTGAACCAAGAATACAGAAGGAGGGAGTAGGAAGGCTACTGCAAAAGTCTAGACTATCTTTGAGAGAAATATGATGGCTATGGAGACCCTAAAACTTTCCTCAGAAAACTCCAGAAAAAGATTAGAAAGTATTTTTTAATCATTACACAGAATATAAAATCATATAAGGTGACTAGAGATCGTTATAGCCTATTTCTCATGCTTAGCTGATTATGGCTGAAATCCTAAAAACTTTTCTGTGAGTAAGGGCCACTGAATCTAGGGCATACTGCCAACTGAGCTGCAAGGCTTCCCTTTTACATTCTGACTCTATGCCAAACTAGATACTTAAAGCCTGATCATTTTAATCCAAAGAGACGCAGCAACTCTGCATAGTATAGTTCTATTTTCCATTTTCAGTTTCCATCTGCTGCCTAAATGGTTTCCACTCACCATCTTTTAAACTAAATAAACAGTTTTAAATAGAGAGGGGCAAATGAGCCCACTCTGCAGGCACAAATTAAGTTTGGATTTTTAATTACACCATGTTCCCTGTATTACTGCTTCATAAACATATTTGCCATTAAAAAGAAAACCTGCAGTTGATACCAGGAAGACATCTCAACTATCAATTAACATGCAGTAGTAGATTACAGGTTACATTAAAATTAACTGAATATCACTTCATCAATAGCATATTTGAGCAACAGAATCTCACGTGAACGGCTCATCTATGTGTCGGGAAGGGAATGATTTTACTACAGAAGATCTCTGTAAAGTTCTGAAAGACTTGATTAGTAATAATATGCTGCTACCAGTGTTCCCTCTAAACTGAGTTAGTGTGAGCTAGCTCACAGTTTTTTAGCCTCCGGCTCACGCATTTTTGTCTTAACTCAGGAAGGATGGCTCCAGAGCAAACTAATTTATGCAGCAGCCAAATCGCTCACCTGCAACTTTAAAACCAGTAGCTCACAATGTAGAATTTTCGGTCACAAGACTTCACAGCTTAGAGGGAGCTTTGGCTGCTACATTGCATCCCCCCTTCTTTCGTAACATTTTCTCATTTATGTTTCTCATCTTAAATTCTGTGCATGCTGGGGAAAGCAACTAAATAACTTGAACAAAACAGAAACTTTACAAAACCGCATTGTTTTTGACGGGTGGATGGAAAAAATTCGTTGTTGCATTATCCTGTACTGCAAACAGTAGGAAGGTCAAAGACCATCTCTCTGCCAATGCTGCGCTCACCACTGCAGTGAGGAGTGTCAAGGAAGGCTCGACAAGGGGATGCAAACTGCGGAACTTCCGACCTTCACTCCCGCCTAGTCGCGGTAGTTTCGGGGCAGACGACTCGATGCAAAAGGCCGAAGAACCAGCAAGCGCGCAAAAGTGGTTGCTAAAATGTTCAGGAGACAAGCGTGTTTCTTTGGGGCGGAGGAACATTAAATGGCACAAACCGTCAATGGACGCACAAAGCTCTCCTACTGACTTGGGGAAACCCCTGAACGCGGAGAGAGTGCGAGACTCCTGCTTCCCGCCTTGGTGTGAGCTTTTAGGGCCCGCTGGGTAGACAGAGGGGGAAGAAGAATGACAGCTCGCGCTAAGGAAAGAAGGCGACCCGGACGGTTGGACGGACAGACACACGGACCCCCGCGCCTCGAGCCGAACCGCCCAGCCACCAACACGCTGTCCTCCCGGGCCCGCCCCCTCTTTCCATTGGTGCCCTTGGGGGCAGAGCAGGGATGAGAACGACCCTCCTGCTAAACCACTGCGTGTCGGGTGACGGGAAGGTGACCCAGACGGTGCTCCTCACCTGTGCTACTTGCCTTCAGATACCACCACGGCTGCTACTGCTTTACTTCTTTCCCATTGAGACACCAGCAGGGGGATGCAGCTTCTCCCGCCCCGTTCTCACCCTTGACCCGCTCCTGGTCCCCTCCCACCTCTTTGCCTCAGAATACCCTCCTACAACTTTCCCTGTCCCTCTGTCGTCACTTCCGCACTCGTCATAAAAGTCACTGTGGAACCGTCTGAAAGGGGAAGGGCTTCTATCTAAATCTTCATATCCGGGACTTTAGTTGCTTTTAAATAAAACGGAGACCCAAGTATAAGGCAGTAACGGGGAATGCTGTCTTTGATTTTGTTATGTCCTAAGGTAAGGTGGAGGTTACGCGCATGCGTGGGTGAGGATGCTCGGACGCCGCAACAGCCTCGTTAGTGTAGTCAGGGAAAAGAGCGTGGAAAGTACTAAGACCAGATTGCTTGGCCGTTTTTATCTCTCTGGTTGCTTTTCGAGGAGGCTGAAGTTGGTTCCTTGTTCCTTATAAATCCAGCCACAAATAAAGATGATAGGTTAAAGGCTCTGCACGCCAAATTAATCTCCAGACAAGAGAGTCTAAAGATTCTTCTGAGGTGCAGCTTTCTTCTAGTTTCTGAAGGTGCAGGGGGCGTGGCAGTTTGGAGCAGTTAACACAAGAACTGGACTGTGGAGCAGCATAGGTCATCTTGCAGGACAGGGCCCGTGAACATGGGGGTGTATGATGCGTGATGGTCCAAAGCTTATTTCGGGAAGCAGAGGGAATGCATTCATTACATTTCCTTATTTTGATTTTCCTAATAAAAACTCAGAGGCAACCCTTGGTGCTTATAGCGTCCCCCTTTGGCTGTCGGTTCCCAGGTTAGACAGTGGACCAAGTACTGATCCCTGTGGTACCCCACTGCTGATCCCTGTGGTACCCCACTCAAACTATTTATTTGCAAGGGGACAACTCCCACAACCAGCAACTACAGCTAACATACAAAACTGGAAACTGAAACAAGAATTCCACCCAATAGGACCAAACAAAATCCCACAGATATGGGGGGAGCAGTCTGTTCCATTACATATATACATATATGCAATAAATAAACCACACTGCCTGAACCAGTTTTTGGACTGGGCACCAGTGCATGTCCTCCTGTAGAGGGCAGTCTATGGAGTGTGGGGGTACATGATTTGGGGCAGTCCAAACATTTTGTGGTACAGTTTCCCCCAGCTTCTGAACGGACCTTTGTCCTGAGGGGGTGTGTGACCCAGTTTTGAAGCAGTTAGTACAAGAGCTGGCTTTTGGAACAGGAAACCGCACAGGTCCCCTTGAAGGTAAGTGTCTCCTGAATAGGGAATTGCATGATATATGATGGTGCAACACTTTTTAAGTGTCTTTCCTTTTTTTAGTTTGGATTCACAAATAAGAGTAGGGAACCAGGAACTTCAACTTCAGTAGCATTGAATGAGGGATGAATACTCATAAGAGGCAATCTACTGTAAAGTTGAGAACTTTATTTCTATCTGACAGCCCTGTGTGTCTCCTCATGTCCTCCAAGAAATGTAGATGTAGATATTTCTCAAACTCAGGTCTGTTTGTGTGTGTGTGTGTGTGTTGGGGGAGAGAGAGAGTTCTTTAAAAATGAACTGTTTTGAATCTAAATCACCTTCCAAACACTTTTGTGACATGAGTGGAGAAATACACTGTTGTATATAACAAGGAATCTTGTGGCATCTTAAAACCAAACAAATGTATTGTGTCAGGTAAATAAACTGTCCACTGTTATTGTCCTCATGTTGCAGAGGGGAAGGAGAGGCAATGCTGAGTATATTTAGGATGTTAGGGTGTGGAGGCTGAAAAGTAATTTGCAGTGGATTCCTACATAAATCTTGTCAATTTGACTTACTCCCCAAAAAGTGTTCTTTGAATGGTAATGTAAGTTAACATTACAATATAATTCATTTCTGGGGGGTGGGGGTGGAATTGTGTAAATTAATTCAGTATTATTGCTGTACTGCAAGGTGTGGAGGGGGCATTGAGGCTGACTGGCTACCATGTAACATAGTTAAAAGCTCATATTGCAGATTGTGTATGGGCTGGGTGGCTATTGAAAGCTCCGTATTGTAGCCAATAACTCAAACAATAGAGATAGCAAGAGATGGAGTACATAATCATAGTTGGAACTAGATAATGAAACTGAAGCTCAAATACTTTGGCCACCAAATGAGAAGGGAGCACTCACTGGAGAAGGCCCTGATGCTGGGAAAGATTGAAGGTCAAAGAAGACATGGACGGCAAAGGATGAGATGGTTAGACAGTGTCATAGATGCAACGAACATGAAATTGAGCAAACTTCAGAGGACGGCGGAAGACCGGAAGGCCTGGCGTGATCTGGTCCATGGGGTCGCGAAGAGTCGGACTCAACTGTGCGACTGAACAACAACAAAAAATCTCCAGTTGAACACCCTGATTGCCCTTGTAGGTGCCCAGAGAAGAGCCTCCAAAAATGAGCTTGATGGATGAGCAAGATCATATGAGAGGAAAAAACCCTTCAGGTACCCTGAGGTCAGACCAGTTAAGGCTTTAAAGATAAAAGATAAAAACAAGCACTTTGCATTCTGCCTAAAAACAAACTGAAAGACATAGAATATTTTCATGCAAGGGTGATATGTAAAACATAAGTAATGTGATTGCTCCAGTGTTCCCCTAGATACAGCTTTGCCCAGTAAATTGAAGATTTCAAGATGTCTTTCAACAACCCCACACAGACCACATTACAGTAATCAAGCCTCAGTATGATTAGAGCAAAGCTAATAGTTCCCAGGAAAGGGCACAGTTGTGAACTAACTAAAATTAGAAAAAGCCTAGTTGAGCCACAAACAGCATTTTAACATTCAAAGGTAAACCCAGATCTTAAATCACCATCAAATGGTAAACTTTGCCTTTTATTTTTTATTTTTAAGTTTTATTAGTTTATATATAGAAAGGGGGGAAGGGAAAAGAAAGAATACAGAGTTATATATATAAAAAACCGATTTGACATTTGCCTTTTAGAGAGGGCGCTTTCCCATCTAACCAGACAATAAGTCACTATTTATCTAAGAGCATCACATCTTGTCTGGATTTTGTTGTTCAGTCGCACAGTCGAGTCCGACTCTTTGCGACCCCATGGACCCAGATGGATTAAGCACCAATTTATTAATTCTCAAGCCAGCCCATTACTGTCTCCAGACTTTTGTTCAGCATACCCACTGATTCTAATGAAAAGAGGGCATTGGAGACCATCAACATATTGATGATAACTTGCCTCAAATCCCCTAATGTTGATCAACATGAAGAACAAAATAGATCCCTGTGAAACCCTATAACACAGCTGCCAAGCATCAGCTAGTCCTAAGGCAGTATCTTTGGGGAGCCTCTACTGCTCAGATAGGAATAGAACCACCCAGATCATGATGCCTCCCTACACCCAGTTCACTGAGATGCTCCAGAATGATACCTCTTGTTGCTGATAGTATCAAAAGAAAGACCCAAGAGAATGAACACTCCCCATCTCTTTCTCAGTACTGGTCATCAGCCACAGGGCAAGTTCTATGCCAGTTAGAAAATAAAGATTAATACTTGCTTGTAAAATAAGATGCATATAGCATGTAAATCTCAAATGTGTAAAATGTTGTAACTACATAAAATAAAACATACGGTAATTAGTGTGAAACAAATTATTTGCACAGCGAGAAATAGGTAGAATGAAGATGAAAATTGTCACCTTTTAAAGTAACGCAGAGCAGCATAGGAAATTGTGTGTACAGGGGCGGAAAAACCCTTATTTGGCTGTTTTCCCCCCTCTCAAGGTGCCAATACTTATTCATATGCTTTACTCATTTGGCTTTCTTGCCAACACAGCTGGTGAAGAAACAGGCATTTCCTTCATTTAATTATGAACACAATTTCTCCCAAGTTATTAGTGTCTCTTTGTAGTCAAAGAACTGATGTTTGCTCAGTTAATTTATGCAGCATTAGTTGAAGGGTTTGCATTTAAGAGACCCATAGGCTGGGTGCTGGGGCAAGCCAGAAAGCTTCCCTGTATGATTGACTGGAAGGAGGTTCTTTTCAAAGATGACCAAGTATGTGGCCTGTACAAAGTGGTCTCAAAAATGAGCATACAAACTTTGATAATCTTTGGCTGAAACTTTCTGATGACACATCAATTATTTAGTATGCCATCAGTTATTTAGTATAACACACTAGTTATTCAGTATGCCAGCTTTTCTGTGCCAGTATTTTTGGTGGGGGATTCTATGGGTGGATCCATATGTACAAAAACATCTCCGTATCACTTGGTAGTTTATTAATATTGAATGCCTTGCCTTACAGCTCAATTTGTGAACAACCTCGGCTGAAAAAATATATAGCATATGAGCAATGCTCCCTCTAAGCTGTAGAGTCTTGTGAGCAAAAATTCTACTTTGTGAGCTACTGGCATTAAAGCTGTGAGTGAGCAGTTTGGATACTGCATGAATTAGTTTGCTTTGGAGCCATCCTTCCTTATCTAAGACAAAAAATGTGTGAGCTGGAGGCTAAAAAACTGTGAGCTAGCTTACACTAACTCAGCTTAGAGGGAGCACTGCATATGAGGTTCTCTGAGGTAATGTGAACACTGCATCTGGCATTTTGTCTTTGGTAGCTATTTCATGCATTTAATTCATCACTTGATGTTATAGACAGTAATCCTAAGGAAACTTTCCTGGGAGAAAGCCCCATTAGAAAACTGAGGACTCATTTTTGAATAGGCTTGCTTAGGATCACTACCATAGTTACTAAGTGAAGTATATGCATTTACAAAATCATGATAGCAATAATAGTTTTTCCTTTAGGTTGGATCTGTAATCTGAGTGTGTTTCCATCAAGTTGCCGTTTTGTTAGCCTCAATCCCCATCCATCTTGGCTACATGAGCTGCTTATTTGTGGGATCAATGTAACAGAATTTAGGGTCATTACAAAGGGGAAAAGATGGCAGAAGGTGGGGCAGGAGCAGAGGGACCTAGCCTGATTGTATCATCTTGC